ATATTCGCCAGACATAGCTCCTTCAGATTACTACTTATTCCGGACGATGCAGTCAGATTTTACAGGAGAGCGATTTACTTCTTACGAAAGCATCAAAATTTGGGTTGATAATTGGATTGCCTCAAAAGACCAGGACTTCTTCATGCAAGGAATCCGTACATTGCCTGAAAGATGGGCAAAGATTGTACAATAGCTGTAGATGGAGCATACTTTGAATAAATAATGATTTCATTTTCTAAACAAGCAAATGTATTTTATTTTCACAAAAAAGGGCAAAGTCATATTCACACACCCAATATAATATAATAACATAGACGTTTCGGTCAAGATTTGACCATCATCAGTACGTACTTGATTGAAATGAATTGAAATAGATTCAGATTTTCATAGAAATATTGATTCAAATGTTAAAATGTTAAAATTCGAATGTTAAAATGAATACTTTTCAATCCTGAATGCATTTTTATTCATTTATAGGAATTGCATGGAGCATATCTCTATGCCTTTCAATCTAAAAATAATATGAGCTTTTTCTGTGCATTGTGAATACTGTTCAATTCAAAATTTTAAATAGAAAATGCAGTTTTTCAATCCAATTGCATCCAATTAGATCTAATTAAATCCAATTGAATCCAAAAAAAGTATTTAAAATACGCGTATTCGGATAGAAAAAAATTTCAATCCATTTTAATCCATTCTCGTTTGCTGGGTATAAATATCCCTGCACTTAAGTTTTTTTTTTTAATCATAACCTTTCTTTTTTCTTCGCAGCTTTCCAATTCAGCTATGATGATGTACTTATTATCTCTGTCATGTATCTTGAACGCCTTTCTTACTCTCACATCTACCTTCACATTTTCTTTAATGAATCCTAAGACCTGTTGTTCCATCTTGTTTGCATCCCATTTATTTATACTTCTGATAATAATGTTGTTTCTTCTTCTCTCTCTATCTTTCTTTTCTCTCTCCCATTCTAACTTTTCTATTCATTGTTCCAGTTTCCTCCTTTCTATATTGTATTTCTCCTTATCCTTATTTTTTCTTCTTTCCTCCAACTCTAATTTTTCTTCTTTCCATTTTTTCCTCATTTGCTCAATTTGTTCTATCATATTTTCGTTCATCTTTTCCATCTATTTGTATATATTTTCCTCCATCTTCCTCATAAACATCATTTAGAGCTCTTCTTTTCCTGTTACGTTTTCTCTGCATGTTTTTTTTCTTTAGGTTTGTGTTTACTACCTACTGGTCTTCGTATTGGTACCACCTAACAGCTGCTGTGATTCTTCGCTCCTCCTCCTTTCTCAGTCCGCTCTATTTTTTATCTAACCTAGAGGCTTTCTCGAAACTCCTAGTTTCTTTATTCTTTCAGGTTCTTCTTTCTTTACTTGCCTTTTTTTCGGAACTTTCCCATCTTCTTTCTTTATGCTTCACTTATTATATTATATTTCCCTTCTTTCCGTTTCTCGATCAATATTCACTCTGTTAGCTATACGTTTTCACATTATCGTTTCCTAACCGGAAGTTCTATATATATATATATATATGTGTGTGTGTGTGTGTGTGTGTGTATAATATATATATAATGTTAATATTGCATTTCTTAAATATTTCTTAGAAGAAATTTTGAAATTCTCTGTGATTAAAATTTAGCTCATTGTTTTTTAAGATGCCTAAGATTGTTTACTATTTTTGTTATTAAGAATGTGTAAAATTAATAATTAAAAAAACATTTCTTTTTATGTATTTTTAATACCTCTAAAAGATATTATGTATTTTATTGATATATCTTATAGTCACAATTAAAATTACAAACAATACAAAAATATATTTGCTCACAGGTTTAATATGTATTTGAAGCTATTCATAGTGATGGGAATAACTTGGGTTTTCGAGATACTATCGTGGGTGATTGGTACCACTATTGTGCCAGTATTCGTCTGGTATGTCTTCGACGTCATAAATTCCTTGCAAGGTCTCATCATTTTCATTGTATTTGTGTGGAGAAGAAAGATCAAGCAAATGCTATTAAAACAATTTGGCGGGAAGACTTTCGGTCCATTTAAGATTCCAATGAGCGATAGTGTAACTTCGAACACTACAACAGCCACTTCGCTATCATCCGGATCAACAATATCCATGCAACAAATCAGTCCCTCTAATTAATAGCTAATCATCTCGCAAAATTTAATTAGTCCTACTGATAAATGTTGCAATACAAAAGGAAAATTTTATTATAGATGAGAATTAACAATTAATTAGCAGCATAATTTAATTCTTCAGTCAAAGATCTTATATACATATATACTATATCAGATTACATTGTTTTACGTTGTCTTTTGATCTCTTTAAAAAAAGAAAAACCAAAATTATATAAGAAGGGACTCAAATTTTAATAATTCTAATGAGTTTTGTAATATTATATAGGTTATTGGTTTATAAAGAATATGTTTACCGTAACATATTGAGAATGATTCGATCAGAGTGGAAACGTATGTTTTGTTCTTTGTAATTATTATATTATTTTCATGATTTAAATTAAAGTTCTTTGCTACATTATTGGCTCTTTACCTTTCTTTTGCCTATATTGTTTAATAATTCTCTTTATCTTTCACTTTACAATGCGTTTCAAATTTTATCTCAAATTAAGAACATGTAATTACGAATAATTTCTTATTTTTTAAGTGTGAAAATAATAAATGTGAAATATAATTTTGAATTAACGTGAAGAATTTTATTTGATTTTTTATTTAAAAGCCTGAACATTATTCATGAAAAACATCATTGTACAAAAATTTTTTATGCATAAATACTCGGGAAAAAATGTTTTATATAAAATTTATAACTTCTATAAACATTTTTTATATGTAATTGTATATAATTATATATATATATATATATTTATACGTATATAAAGAGGAAAGCCCCCTATTATGAGATAGGCGCTTCATAATATAAGGTAGCAGCGTTTTCGCTAAACTAATAAACGCTATCTGTTGATTCCACCATGAATTTATTACTCTCGGGTTGAAAACTATTTAGTGAAAAATTCATGATTTATTAAATCATGCCTATAGTCGTTGCAAAAAAAGATTTTAGAATTTGGAGTTCTTCAAGTTTCGTTGAGATGAGCTTTTCTTGTTTATTATTTAATAAGTAAATATTTAGCAATAAATTCTTCGTGTAGTGATAGAGTAAGATCGTATTAATACGTAGACTGCTGGAAAAGTTTCTGCAATCTAGTACTTCCAGTGGCGCCAACGTTTTACTAGTATCATATCCGTAAAATTAGACGTTTTAAACCTATAATTCAATTGACAGTTTGCACCCAACTAGTTTTGTTTGCATAATATTTTAAAAGAAGTTATTTTGTAAGAAAATGGAAATTTCGCGTGAAAAGTTTCGGGCAATGATTTTTTACGATTACAAATATAATCTAACTCCGAAACAATGCATCGATCGACTTCATTTGGCTTTTGGGAATAAAGCACCATCCAATAAGACTGTTTATAATTGGTTTGCCGAATTCCAGCGTGAACGTACCTTTCTTATTGATGAATTCCGTGAAGGTCGTCCATCCACGTCTGTTGTTGCCACTAATGTTGATGCTGTGAAATGATTGAGCGAGACCGGCATATAACATACCGCGAGATTCAGGCATCCTTAGGCATTGACATGAAAGCAATACATACGATTTTGCATGATCACTTGAGCGTACGGAAACTGCAGTCGTTAAATCCCACACAATTTGATCGAAGCTCAAAAATCGGCTCGTGTTAAATGGAGCAAAGAAATGCTCAAGAAATTCAACCGAAGTCGGTCAAATTTGATCAACAACATCGTTGCTGGGGACGAAACATGGATCTATTCTTATGAGCCCGAAAGTATGAGCCGAAACAATCCACTGTTTGAGTATTTCAAAATGAACCGAAACCAACAAAAGTTGTTCGTTCACGCAGTGCTGCCAAGCAAATGATTGCTTGTTTCTTTGGTTATACCGGACATGTGATAACCGTGGCTTTAGAGGATCGAAGGACTGTAAATCCTGATTGGTATACAACAATTTGTTTACCAGAAGTCATAAATGAATTGCGTATAGAACAAACCGAAATCGTCGCATCATCCTTCATTATGACAACGCCAGCTGTCACATAGCACGTCAAACCGTTGATTTTTTATCCAGTAATAATGTCGAATTGATGACTCATTGTCCGTATTCACCTGATTTATCACCTAATGACTTCTTTTTGTTCCCAGACATTAAAAATAAAATGCGTGGTAAGCGATTTGAGTCGCCTGAAGCAGCTGTTGAAACATTTCGTACACTGATTTCTGAGATTACAGCCTTAGAGTGGAAAAAATGTTTCGAAAATTGGTTCGAGCGTATGCAAAAATGTATCGATCTTAAAGGCGATTACTTCGAAAAACAATAGTCATTTACCGAATTTTACATTTTTTTTTTTTCATATTGTTTGCAGAAACTTTTCCAGCAGCCTACGTAGAAAAATACAGGATATGTTGAATTGCTTAATTATAAAAGTTAGATTTGATGATCGTAAAACCATAAAGCATGGAAATGGTAATATGAAATAATCTATGCTCCTGTGTATGTCATAGTGAAAATTGTTGCTGAAGTATAAATGTTATTATACAATAATAAAAAAGATAATCGGTATGAATATCGAGTGCCTGTTTCTGCAATACTTAGTTCCAACTACCTGAAGACGAGTCCTAGGTACAATGCATCACATATTCGTATTGCGCGTGCATTGGCTGTGTCCGTTTGTATTTTAGAAACATTAAATAAAGTTTTTTAATTATAATACTGATGTACTTAGCGTTTTATTATCGATTTCTCGGGGCATCTCATACTAGAAGCACAATTTTTTACTTTGCTCACTTTTTACATTTCTTTAAATTTATAAAAAAAATAAAATTTGAATTAAATTTTACATAACATTATCTTAAAGCTTATATTAAATTTCCTTCCAAATGACCTATTACTTTTTAAATTCTGCCCATAGATTTCCATCATTTATCCAAAATAAACTCGATATCTCAATAGAGGCTTTTCCTCTATAATTATATACTCGTATATTTGTATATAAAATTATATATAGAATCCTATTTTATTAACTTGAATTAGAATTAATTATTATTTGAATTAAAATTGATTTAAAATTGTCTTGAAATTTACTTTAACTTGATATTGATTTTGACCTGAATTAAAATTAACTTCGATTAAAATTGTTTTTAATTTGAATTAAAAAAAAAATTGGCTCTTATATACATATAGATATGAAATAGATTGAAATTGATTTTAATTTTAATGTATGAATATTGGTTTGATTTTAATTAGAAATTTTGACTTAGATTGAAATTAGCTTTAACTTGGCTTCAAATTGGCTTCAATTAATATTTATATTGACTTAAATTGAAATTGGCTTTGACTTCGATTAAAATTATTTTTAATTTAAATCATATTACATTTTTTGGTTAAAATTAAAATTAATTTTATTGTGTTAATTATTATAATATAAACAATATTAAAATATTAATTTAAATTGACATAAATAATAATTTAAATAAATATTAAACTCTGAGTT